AAAAAAAAAAAAAAGAAAGAAAAGAAAATGAAAGGCCATCTCACTTCCTTATATACAGTGGAACCTTCTAACTCTGACATTCTCTATTTCCTTATGACTCGAGGGATTGTAGTTAAATGAACATATCCTAAGTGCCCATTCAAATCAGTAATCTCTAAACTTTGATTTTTTGAGTGTACATTCAATAACTGTTAGGGATAGTATTTTGACTTCATCAATTCTTTTGTAAGCCTGCACAACTAATGGTTTTCTTGAATCCAAAAGAGGCAAATGGCAGGTAAGACACCTGCTGACAGTGGGACCCCGTATGGGAAATTGAAATATTATTATCCTGTTATTGTAGTATATTTCCTTTGACTCTTACCAACATCTACAAATTCCTAGTGAATGGGAAAGAAGTTAAAGAAGGTTGTGACATACCTCCATCATAAAGCATCTCAGGCCCCCATCATTTGCTATGGCCTGTCACCTGTGGTTGATGATACACCTTTGTAGTAGAAAAAGCTCAAGTCACCGGCGACTGTACAGTGCCATCTGGTGGAGCTTGAGTATTTGCCTGAAGCAGGAGGCAGTGAGTTTGTGACTGAAGCCATGACTCCATTCCAGTTAGCTTCCCCTATTAGTAAACTTAGCCAGAACATCTTTAATTATATCCATAAGAACATGCACTGTCCTTCAAGGAAACCAACCTTCTGAAGAGTTATATCCAGGCCTGAACAGTTGAGGGAAGTTGAAATAGGAAGAAGATTCGTTTTCTTCTAAGATTTCATAGTACAGTTCAGTCAGAGACTTACTGGATCTTTAGCTATACTGTATCCTTCAGGTAAAATTTGTTTCCACAGCCTTGGACTCAAGGTTGAGTCAGAAGTGGAAGAGAGACTTTCTCTTCTTGTGCACAAAGTGGCTCTTGTTTCCAGAGCAGTTATCAGATAAATCTGGCTCCATGATACCCTCATCTCTGCTGGGACGGGGTGGGGGTGGGAAGAGAATGTGCCTAGATGAGACATGGCCAGAGTAGATATTCCCAAACGAACTGAATCTACTGGGAAAGGATGGCTTCAGCCACTGAGAACCTTTAGATAGCTGCACAGTGTCTGTCTGGCTTACCATAGAAGCTCATTAGGCACAGATTCCAGATATATCTTCTCCCTCAGCAGTGAAGACTTTCTGATCTTTGGACTGTTTGACTTTTTTCACATTTAAATGAGAGACTTTCTCTAAGTCAGACAAATCCTACATTTATTTAATCTATGTTTTCTATAAAATAGTATACTGGGAACTGTGAAGGATTTTCATTTTTTTTAATTAATAAACTATAATCTGTACCAACAAAGTGTCCATAATCTGACAAGAAAGAGATAAAACAAAGATAAGTACCTTAAAAAGCAGAGCATTCTGAGTGATCAGATTAAAAATGTTCTTTGAGTTGAAATAGGATAGCGTTTGAAACTTGAATAGAAAAAATGTTGTATATGTAGATAGAGGAAGTAATCTAGATGAAAGGTCAGGCAGAGCTCGGCACAGTGGTTATGGCGCCAGCCACATACGCCAAGGCTGATGGGTTTGAATCCAGCCCAGAGGCCAGCTAAACAACAATGACAACTGCAACAAAAAATAGCCAGGTGTTGTGGCGGGCAGCTGTAATCCCCGCTACTGGGAGGCTGAGGCAAGAAAATCACTTAAGCCCAAGAGTTTGAGTTTGAGGTTGCTGTGAGCTGTGACACTAGGGCACTCTACTAGGGGCTACATAGTGAGACTCTGTCTCAAAAAAAAAAAGTCAGGGAGGAATAGAACTTACTGTTGGGAAAACAGGCAAGTTGTCCAGTGAAACACAAAAGACTATTGGGTAATAAAACTGGAAAGGTATGTGGAAAGAAAAGTTTAAAGGCCAGGTTAAAGGAATTTGGATTTAATTCTTTTTTTTTTTTTTTTTTTTTTTTTTTTGCAGTTTTTTGGCTGGGGCCGGGCTTGAACCCACCACCCCCAGTATATGGGGCCAGCGCTCTACTCCTTGAGCCACAGGCTCCACCCAGGAATTTGGATTTAATTCTGAAGGAAGTGAGGAGCCTTTAAAAATTTTTAAGAAGGGAATTGATGCCAGAGTTGTGCTTTAAAAAAATTACTCTGGCAATAGTGCGAAGAGTAGATTGATGAAGGAATTATAGCGAACCAGAGATGGGTTAGGACGCCATTGTAAAACTAAGACATAATGATGTGCTACTACAGGGGCAATGTCTTTCCAAATAGGGCAAAAGGGCTGGGTGTGAGAGATATGTTGGATGTAAAGGCTGTTTAGATATAGGAAATAAGACAGATGGGGGGTTGAAGATAACTGCAAAGTTGTAAGATAATGTTTGGGAGAATTATGAGTTCTTTAATTGCACAAGAAAGAAAACAGAAAATGAGATTATAATTGAATTTTGGAAGTTTGAACATACTATGGATCTGTTTTATATGTATCTCCTTTTAATTTCTTAAAGCTTTCCTTATCTTTGGAAAATCAGTTTATCTATAATATATATCCAAAACCTTATTCTTCTGTTTTTTCCACAACTGAAGACTTGTCTAGGGATTTTATAAATATTGCATCTGAGAAAACTCCTCAAATTCTGTCTCATGTGCACATTTATTCCATGTTAGAGTTGATGTTTTAATTACAAATTACACCATTATGTAAAGAAACCTCAGTACATAAATGGCTCTCATCAGGCTTAGAGGTGTGGTCTCTTCCAGCTTTGCATCCTGCTGTGGGAAACCACAGAGTCTGCTGACCTCTAGGGATACAAAGGTGATAGGCCACATAACTGCTGAGTAGACCTTGAGCCTGGCTGTGGCAGGCCCCAAACTTGAGCTGACATCTGAATCTTGTCCAGCTGAGGAGGCAGCCAAATGTCCCACGTACAATGTACAGTAAGTTGATCTCTAATTGAGTTAGTAAGTATGAGATGCCAACTATGTGAAGA